GATGGCGAGGAGGACGAGGAACTGCACTGTTGCTAGGTTGTGCTGCTCTAGGATGTAGTCCATCGGCTCTATGGCTGCGGCAAAGTGCGTCTGGAGGTGCGTCAGTGGAATGCTGTGGTGTTAGATGGGGGGAAGGAGGCGTACCTGCGGGTCGACATGGTGATTCTTCTTGGTTAGTTGCAGAAATCGCGACGAGATGGCATATATCAGGTGCAGGATGCTCCTTTGCAGGAGTGGAAGCGCGCCTTGGTTGTACTGCTGCTCAAAGAGGTGGTAGTACAGCTTGCGGTCGAGGATTGGCCACCGCGTATGCAACCTGTCGAAGAAGACTGCAAAGAGAGCTGTAGCCTGGGCCCGAGGAGGAAACTCGCAGCGCGGTCCTGCCTCAAACACCGGCGACCCCCGGATCGGTGTCAGCGTCGGTCTTAAGACATCTTGCGTCCCAGGTGACGATGGATTGGGCAGCGACATTTTGGACGCGCGGAATATGGACGACTGTATCATGCGCGCTATCGTTGCTCCTGAACTCGACCCGAGGTAGAAGGGCTCAGGAGCAGTGTCAGTGGTGCCGGATGCACACAGCGACAAGTAGGCTACGCCATCTACGAGAGAGGTGTCGTCGTCCTCGGACAAGTCGGTTGACTGGCGCCGTGCAGGGCGCCGCTTAGTTGGTAAGGGAGTTTCGGCAGCGGTTGTTGGGCTCGGCGAGGTTGCCGGCCCTGTCTCGAAGTGGTCTTGTCCATACTCGGGCATGCGGGCTTCAAGGAACGCAATGCGCTCCTCCAGAGCACTGATGTATCTGTACCGAAGTGTTAGTCATCCCGGTACTCCTCCGGGACGCTCCGGGACGGGAGGTGGCTTACAGTGACTTTCCGCCGGGGTACCGGGGCCGGATCACACGCTCGTAAAGGCAGTGCACATCGGCCTTCTGGCAGCCCTTGCAAGCCGGCTGGGCTCCGTCGCACTACCCTTGCCGTCAGCACAAGAGCCTAGCAGTAGTTCGCGTAGATAATACTGCTGCGCGCTGATCTGAGCTGAAGAGGAGACTCCACATACTCTCTGCTTCCGCCGCTTACACCTCTGGCACGCGAGCGCCACTCTACCTCTGCGACCTCCCGGTGGTCCCGACTGCGCGGCACCGGTGGGGCTGTTACCCATATCATTCGGCGCGTCTGTCCCGGAAAGAGCTTGTTTCGGCGTCAACTCATCCATGGTTTCTCAGTAGGGCAGAGTGCGGATCTGAGGAACCAGTCTTGTGCCAGCCTAGGAGCCTGATGGGCCGCCTGCGAGACGGGACGGGACTTATGAGCCAGCACGGTCCAGAGAGGCTAAGAATCGGGATGTTTTGGCAAAGAAAGTGGGATAAAATAAGCCGAATCGCCAGATGTGAGATGGGAAGATGTAAGAGGGGAAGAATGAGGGCAGACGCGACACACATCACGTCGGAGTTCAGTCCGGTGTAGGAGGCGGATGGATGCTGGCGCTGATGCAGTGCAGGGAGCGGCACAGCAACCGCCGGCCCACTAACACGACCCCTGGCCGGAACCGGGAACCGATGGCCAGGGGCTAAACCCGGCGTCCTACCGGCCAGCCAAGCCAGTGACATCGGCTCATTACAAGCCGAAACTGACAAGCTGACTTAATCATCCAGCTTAGGCTCTCTCCGAAGGATGATAAGGCGTCATCGGCTGCACCTCTTATCTCCCCCGTCCCAAGCAAGGTAGCAACCGGCAGTAGGCCACTAGTTAGGGAACCCTTGGCGCCGTTGGCAAGGGACGCTGCACCAGCTGGCTCGCAGAGTCACAGCGACATCCCGCTGCCTGCCATGCCTGGGTGCCCACTGGCCACTGGCGAGGCAAGCCCTTCGTTATCAGCGACTGAATCCAACTCTGGAATTGAAGCGGGCAGGATCTTTTTCTCAATCGGTAAAGACTCGCCGAAATATCGAAAGGCGGAGGAATACCACCCTCCGCAACGTGATCATCAGGCCAGCCATCATAAAGACAGCGACAGTAGCATGTTGGTGCTTTTGCCTTTATGAAGACCGACCATCTCCCGTCTTTCTGGTGGTGAATCCCTCGGACTAGAGCTCGCCATTACCTAAAATCATCGTCTTTGGTACCCACAGCCCCCGCGCCATGGTGCAGTTTCCGAGCCGGGCCAGTCTAACGGCCCCATTCCAATCCCGCGAGGCCTTTGTGGAATTCATCACGGTCCCGGGCCATGTCGACAAGGACGGCGTCACCATCGGCGACCCGCGCTGGTCCAACAAGGACCTCGCGCCGACGCCGCCGGAGCAGCGCACGTGGACGTGGTACAACCTGCCCCTTTACTGGGGCTTCACCGTCTTCGGCCCCACGGGCTGGAACGTGGCCGCCAGTCTGATCAATGTCGGCTTGACATGGCGACAGGCCTTCATCTCGTGTATCATCGGGTCTCTGATCGCCGGCCTGGTGGTCATGGCGATGGCTAGACCGGGTGTGCAGTACCATATAGGATAGTGAGTGTAGATATGCTACTCCCCCTTGGAAGTGCGCACAAGACTAACATCCTGCTAGTCCTGTTATCGCGCGCTCGGTCATGGGCATGTACGGATCGTACTTCTTCATCTTCATTCGTGCCGTCGTGTGCATCGTCTGGTACGGCATCCAGTCGTACTATGGCGCCAACCTGCTGGCCGTCTGCTTCCGCTGCATATTCGGATCCAGCTGGACCGTCTTCAAGAACACGCTGCCGACATCCGCACATGTTGCTGGCCCCATCCTGCTGTGCTTCTTTCTGGTCTGGCTGATGGAGCTGCCATTTGTGAGCAAACCCGCCTTGTGAACTGCTGTATTGGATGCTGATCCGGTTTAGATGTTCGTCCACCCAACCAAGATCCACTATCTCTTCACCATCAAGGGTTTCATCATGCCCGTCGCCACCTTCGCGCTTTTCGGCTGGTGCATGGCCAACGGCGCCGGAATTGCTTCCATCGACCTCGCCTCTGCTGCCGCGAGCAAAGTCAACCAGCCCCTCGGCTGGTCCATCATGACCGGCATCAACGTCATCATGGGCACCCTGTCGCCCATGCTCATCAACCAGCCCGATCTGGCGCGTTACTGCAAAAAGACGCGCGACGCGGGCTGGGTCCAGGGTGCGGCCGTCTTCGTCTCCAAGGTCCTCGTCTACTTCCTCGGCCTGGCCGCGACGGCCTCGATCCAGGGCGCCTGGGGCAAGGCGTACTGGAACATTTGGGATCTGCTGTCTGCCATCTTGGACCACCATTGGAACGCAGGTGCTCGGACGGCTGTGTTCCTCGTGTCGCTCAGCTTCCTCTTCTCCGCCATGGCCGTCAACTTTGGCGCAAACTCGATCCCCTTCGGCGCCGATATGACGGGTTTGTTCCCGCGCTACCTCAGCATCCGGCGTGGACAGGTCCTCTGCGCCGTGCTGGGCATTGCCGTTGTTCCGTGGGAGCTGATCGCCAGCGCTGCGTCTTTCCTCTCCTTCCTCGGCAGCTACAACATCTTCATGGCTCCGCTCTGCGCCGTGAGTTCTCATCCCAATCCTGACTGATAGAAGAGCGCTAGACTAACCTCCCGCAAGATCATCCTCGTCGACTACGCCTTCGCGCGCAACGGCAACATCCACGTCCCCTCGCTCTACGACGGCACCAAGGGCGGGCTGTACTGGTTCAAGGGCGGCGTCAACTGGATCGGCGTTTTTGCCTGGCTCGCCGGCATCTCGATGGGCCTGCCGGGCCTGGTGGCGCAGTACCAGCCGCAGGCCGTCAGCGCCGCCGGCAAGAATATGTACACCTTTGGCTGGATCCTGACGTTCGTGACCGCCGCGGTGCTGTACTTTATCGGCATCAAGGTCTTCCCTCCAAAAGTGTATCCGGACGGCTTCGACATGCCGACGAGCTGGGAGTACTTGGCCAAGAACGGCCGCGAGGGTTTCTTTGACGGCGAGCGGGATGGTGAGGTTATTCACTCGCCCGTGCTGAGGGATAGCGAGGAGGGATATTCCGAGAAGGACGCGTCGAAGACCCAGGTTTCGAAGGCTGAGTCCTGAGTGCTTTTGCGAAGGGCGTTTGGCTTATGTGTTAGTTCAGATACCAGTTTGCTTTTGCGCCAAGATACCTATGTAATGAAACTTCAACGATGAGCCAGATGGAATATTTGCATTTGAACAACTTTGGGGACGCCTAATGTTTGATCGGTTGATGTTCAGGAAATTGTGTTAAATCACTCAAGTATGCTAGGTTAATGAGAATCCGAGGTAAAGAGAGGCGTTCACGTATCTACGATCTAACTAGTCGTAGCTGCCTTGTGTAACAGTCAGTTTGTCACTTTCTCATTCACTAAAGGCAAATCCCTACCTACCTCTAGAATCAGAAGCAACTGTCAGTATTCCTCGCGGTTCACCTCGTCTTCTTTATCTGCCTTAAACACACACCATACTACGAGAAATACTGACCTTGCAGCTACATCGTCACTGCAAAGCCATGGCTTTGTGGCCGCATATGAATAAAAGGCATGTCAAAAGGCATATGCTCATATGTGTGAAAGCACTATACTAACGTGCCTCAAGCTTTATACCATGTCACGTCTGGTCTTGGGACCTCCAAAAACTGTTGTGTTACTACCTACCTAGACGTCGAGCCTGTACACCCAGACATCCCAAGCTCAAACGTCTTTCTAGCCAAGTGCTTGTGAGCTGACCCCTTGATCCCCATCCTCATTGTAGGACAACACGTCGTCATCATTGTCCCCCGGCCGCAAAGCTTCCTAACTGCAACAGTGGTACACTGCCTAGAACCCGATGAACCTCGCAAACTCTTCTTCGATTGCGATGATATCCTTCCAACTGTGGGAAAGAACTGTGTCTTCAGAACCTGGTCGAAACTCAGCTTGCAACTAACGTAAAAAAAAACGAAGAAAACTGATACAGACAAGCAGACGGATCCCAAAAGACACAAAAACATCGCCAGATGAAGCAAAAACAAAGGCATAACGAGCCTCGTAGCAGGATTGAACTACTGACCTTGTCATTGACTTTCTCCAAGGAGTTACAAGTGACACGCGCTACCACTACGCCAACGAGGCTGCTTATATAATAATTCGGAGTTATTTTAGATCATCAGTGTCTTGCTCCTGGCCGGGTTGCAGCAAGTGGAACTTGACATGAGCGGGCTCCCGTCTCCCTGGTAAGTGTGGGAACCGAAGCGTAATGGACTGGACTCCCAGGTACCATAGGCACAAGGTGTGCAAGAAGTAGTAAACGAGGAATATGTATAATTGGATAGAAGGCAACAATGATTTGACATTATGTTTAATATGTATCGCCCCATGGAGTGCGAAGCTCTATATAATCGTAAGACCGCCGCTAATGCAAACACCGGAGCTCAGCAAAGCCATCGCTCCACCGCAGGCCCCCCATGATAGCCACCATAAACGCCAGCGCCACGAGAACGCTCGCAGTTCCGTACGTGTACGCATGTCGCCGTCTGAGCGAAGAGAGCTCGGCTACCCAGGTGGAAACGGTGGTTAGACAACCACAGAAACCGTCCTCAATCCCTTGCAGCACCTGGCATCCCACAACGCCTCCGAGGGGTACATGAGCAAGAGCCCAGGCCATAGCGAGGACAATCGAGCCAAAGACATTGACCGTAAAAGTTCCCAGCGGGAACGACGCGATCTTGCCGTTGAGATACAGAGAAGCGTAGAACCGGGCCAGACACCCCAACGGCGCAAAGACTAACGCAAACGTGGCGCGTCCCCGCCAGGTCTCCGGCCCTGCGTCATCGCGGTCCGGTGGCAATGCCGATAGCAAGACAGCGCCGATCCAGCAGCCACATCCGAGGACAACAGCAGACCTGTCTAAGAACTTCCGCATAAAACGGAAGGGCAGAGCAGGAACCAGCGGCTCGGTAGCGATGGCGAGATGCGCCCCGATAAACAGGCCCGACAGAGACATGCCCACGGTGAGCAGTATAACCGCCAACACCGCCATGAAGGAATAGCCCCCGTTCCGGGGGACTGTCCCCGCCGCGTCGGAACTGGGCAGATCATTGGACAGGGCGAGAAAGACATCTCGTATAAAGGAAGAGAACGACGTGAACGAGCCGCAGAACCCGGTTGCCAGGCCGATATAGAGCGGTATCGTCTTCTTGGTCGCGGCGTACGCCTTCTTTGCCGCCGCCAGGTTAGCAGCCGCGGCGGAGTCCGAGGCCGACCCACCGCTCTCCTCGTCTTTACCGTTTTGCTCTCTGGCCCTCTTGAGCTCCTCCGCGTACATGGGGACGCCCCATTCGTGGCTGAAGAGCATGCGGTCCTCCATCAAAAATCCCATGATCAGACTGCCCGCGAAGTTGGGCCAAATAGAGGGGAATATGGCGGGTGCGCCGGGGTAAGAGGTTATTGCTTGGAGACCCAGCCGGGCTAGAGTTCCGAGGATGGAGAAGAATATGAGGTAGGAGATTGTGTAGATCTGCGTGGCGAGGCGCGAGACCATGAACGCGCTGCTGTCCTCTGCGCGGGCTTTGCCATCTGGTATTCCGGGATATCTATCGGCGGCTCCAGGCGGTTGGTTCTCCGCTTCGCTTTTTTGCCGCCTGTCCAGGGCGGCCTGGCCGTGCGCTTCTTCCAGACTCGTATGATGGTACAACGCCGCCTCCTCCGGATTTTGCACAGGCGAGGTGGTGGCCACCTCGTCCAAGTTGGCGTACTGGTCTGGGACATCGTAGTCGACCTGCGCGGCGGAAGACCGGCGACGAGCCAGACGCGCCTGCTGGTTGGCGGATGCGGAGGACAAGCGTCTCGATATGGGACTTCCTCCTCTTGAATCCGGACCCCTTGTCGTTTGTCGGCGGACAAGCTCGTCTTCATCTGGGTTCTGTACAGGGGGTGGTTCGACATCGTCGAGGTTTGCGTATGCGCCGGGGAGATCGTAGTCGATTTGCGATGTCGTGGAACCCCTTCGATCGTTTCTGCTCGCGCGCGAGCGGTGAGAGGTGCTGCGCTGTGGTTGCTGTTCGACGTGACTGTCGTACCCTGAGGTCGGAGAGGGCTGTTGTGCGAGGCCATCCGGGACAACTGGCGGCGCCGGTGTTTGTTGTGTCATGGTGCCCTTTCGGCTACAGCTTTCGCCGCCAGACTGGTTATATCATTCCTCCAAGATGCGATATATATGACAACGGGCAATCGGCCTCATTCTTTGGCCTGTCGCACATGTTGCAATTGCGATGTGTTTGGATAGAATCTGATGTAGAATTTGAGTTTGGGTGTTAGATGGTGCCGTCACTGCCGTCCCCATCCCCACGCCGGAAATAACGGGGCTAGATATGACACTTTGGGTTCGTAGTTCGACCTTCCTGGCAAGTGCAAGGACAGGATCATTGTTATACATGCGATGAGTGTAAACCTAATCGCAACTACAAGTTGACGCTCCGTCTTTTTGGCAGGAAGGAAAGGTCACCCGACATTCCATGGCCCAATTACGTACGGATTCAAGACGCAGGGGGAAACAGCGGGCACCGACGGCAGCCACAGTCCCGACTATCGCTTATCGATGCCTAACTGTTTGTCTGATGATCTTATCGGTGCTTGACCCGGGTGCCTTCCCCGCCATAGCTGCTGCTGCTGCCCTTCCATACCTTCCGTATATGTAGCTTGCTCACCTCCGATTGCATTCACAGACAAAGATAGACCGTATTCTGATAGAAAAGCGCTTCTTAAAAGACAGTGATCCTACCTCCCTGTAACCACTTCACCCTGTGTACAGTGTTCACCTACCTTACCTACATTACCTCTAGACAGACACACCCTCGCTCTCACAATGTCGAGCTTACCGTCCAACGTCCACGTCTCCAACCACCCATGTCTCGTCGCGAAGCTCAGCCAGCTGCGGTCCAAAAACACGACCGCAAAAGAAGTAAAAGCCCTCGTGCACGAGATCTCACTCATACTCGGCATGGAGGCTCTGGCAGCTAAGATCACCACAGTGTCCGGTCCCGAGGTTTGTTTGACTCCCTACCCTTCCAGACCGCCTCTCCCCTCCTCCTGACATTTTTACCCTCTAGGACGAGACACCCCTGGGCTACAGCTACACAACAACAACCATAGCCCCGGAGACAATCTCCCTAGTCCCCATCCTCCGCTCCGGCCTGGCCATGGTCGAGGCCCTGCAGACCCTCCTCCCGTCCCCGGTCCCCGTGCACCACCTCGGCCTCTTCCGCGAGCCCACCACCCTCGAGCCCGTCGAGTACTACAACAACCTGCCCAACCACCAAGGGGAGCCCGGCTCGAGCCTGGCCATCATCCTGGACCCCGTCATCGCTACGGGCGGTACCTGCGCCGCCGCCGTCCAGACCCTCCGCGAGTGGGGCGCCAAGCGTGTCATCGTGCTATCTGTCATCGGAGCCGCCGACGGCGTGCGCCGCGCCGCCGCCGAGTGGGCTGACGGCGTCGAGTTCTGGATCGCGGGCGTGGATGAGGAGCTTACTGAGCGGGGGATGCTGAAGCCTGGGTTGGGCGATGTTGGTGATCGGCTGTTTTTGACTATCGGAAAGTAGTGCTTGGGATGATTTGAAATGAGACGAGTAATGATACCAGGGAGCTAGTCGTGTTTGGTGTTAGTTAGACAGGGCGCGCGAAACGGTTGGTTATCATGGTAATGGCATTGAAGGCCATTCATAGATATCATGCTGCCAAATATTCATTCCATGCTCACAAACTCGTGGTGCTAGCGCTGCAACTCATACATGATATCATGAATATAGTCTTGTTCAAAGCACACCTTCGCGTCAACTCGGAGCATAGGGCTCCTCGTCCACAAGCGTGCTCTCCTTCCAGCAGTCCTCGACCCATTTGCTGGTGACAATCCTGGGCACCTGTCTCCACGAACTGACCCGGGAGCGTACGTCGGCAGCCAATGCCCTCTGGGACTTGGCGTCTGCAGCAACAACGACAATCTGCGTGATCTTCTTGTCGTCCATGTCATCGACGACCTCGCCGCCTCCGAAGCGGATGTAGTGCTCGAGCCTCAGCGTCCTGAGCTCCGACACGCCCTCGCCCAGAGCAAAGTGGACCCGACACCGCCGCCAGATTGTCCCTTTCGTGCCTCCAACCGCGTGTCCGTGCTCTTCCAGCTGGTCCAAGAACTCGTTCGGATCAAATCCATTCTCGTCTCGATCCTCGGCCTTTGGCATCCCCTTCAGAATCTCGGCGAGCTCGTCTACATCGACATCCCTGGCGTAACTATCGCCAAACTGATCCGAGTTCTTGGCCGCCCGCTCTCGCATCTCCTCCGTGGCGGTGAATAGATGCGCTTCCTCAAACGGCAGGAGATAGCTCTCGTCGTCGCCCAGCCCCTTGATCTGCGCCAGACAGTCAAACACCCATTTCGGCTTGACGACGTCCGCTCCGCCAGCCTCCTTGATCAGACTTGCCACCTTGACCACCTTCTTGTCAGCGACAATGATCATCCCGCTCGACTTGTCGGGTCGCTGGCTGATCTGCCCGCCATTCTCCTTGATGAGCGCCTCGAGCTGCGCCTTGCTCTTCTTGACCGGCTTCAGGCTCTCGGACAAAACACAAAACTCCATGCCCTCGAATATCTTCGTCTTCGGCTTCCGCACATCCAGCCTGGTCGGCGCAACGCCAGGATCAGCGCCCGCGATCACCAGCTCTCTCCTCGCGCGCTTCGTCGGTTTCCTCTTCCGGTTCTCGACATTCATCTCCTTTCGCTCCTTGAGCTCTTGATCAACCCTGTTCCGCAACTGGTCGAACCCGTCTACGTCCAGACACGAATCCCAAGTCCGGTCGAGCCGCAGACGCCTGAACCGCGGAAACCGCAGCGTCCAGCCCAGGGCGAACTGCTCCGACGGCGTAATCTCCGCGGCCTTAGCCGAGATGACAATCGAGTCCTTGGGCCGGATCCACACGTCGGGCCGCTCGTACTGCAGCCTCTCGCCGCCGCCGAGCTCGATATACTGGGAGGGCGGCTTCGACGCATCCCAGTCGACCCACTTCCCTTCCGTGTGGTGTCGTATCTCAGCGTAGTCCTCCGCCTTGAAGCCGCCTCCGACCTTGAAGAAGCTCAGACA